TTTGGACCGGGTCCCTCGGCGTCCCCCGAACTTCGAGCAAAAAGTACTGCGGCGTACCGCCGTCCGCGCCTGGGACGCAATTCACTTGGAGGGAGGTGGTCTCGTTGTGGAGCGAGCAGTCGGACGGCGGCTGCGGTGGCTCTGCGGATTTATAATATATTCGTTAGGAAATAAATTCCCTGAAAAGTTTTCACTTTCACCGGTGAAAAGATAGATTCTTTAGAACAATGGTTTGAGCTTTTTTTTTTAATTCCGAAGAGAGGATTCGAAGAATCTTTTACTTGGAATTTTATTTGAAAAGAAAGAAATAATAAAAGAATAGGAGAAATTTAAGGGCACGTACTTCCAGCCACGATGTTGAATATGCAAGGCGTCCTTTGTCTTCCGACGCTGTTGCTCGCCCAGCAGGCGAGAGTTCCAAAGTCGGTGTCGACGGTGGGGGTATACTCGAGAACGCTAACGAGCCCGTTATTCCGAGCCTTCGAGTTTGGCATTGGCAACACGTCACCAAGCGTCCCGTTGTACGTCCACGAGAATCTCACACCGTCTTTGGGAACCGAGTCGACCTCGCAGCGAAGCGACACCGTTTCGTAACGACCGGCTGTGACCTCGCGCCTCTCGTGGCCCGCCCTGCATCTCGGAGCATCTGGAATGGAGATAATAATAATAAAGATTATTAGGAGGAGGAAAGACACAGGATCGAAGATCGAAGAACAGGTACTTGCATTTCATGCGGACCGAGATCGGTGGGCTGCGACCCTCTCCCACGGAATTGATCGCCTCGCACGAGTACTCGCCTGCATGAGCCAGAGTGAGCACCCTCAACGTCAACGTGTTCGAGGCTATCAACGTTCCGTCGGCCACATCGTGCTCCAATCGATTATCCTGCAACGTTCGAATCCCGTTCGTTGGTGTTTCGTGTTACCGAGGGAGGGAGAAACTCGATCCCCCCTTACCTTGCGATACCAAACGATTCTGGTCGGAGGTGGGTTGCTGTCCACGTCGCACACGAGCTTCAGATCGTCTCCTTCCCTAAGCGTGTCCAGAACGTAACCGGTTGCCAGATCGATGGACACGACCGGGCCGTCTAAATTGATAAATTATGTGGAAAGTAAGAAAAGAGAGGATGTTGCATATCTTTTTTCTTTTCGTTCGAAGAATTTAGAAAATTGACTCACAGGCAACGTCCACGATCTCGGTCTGCTCGAGGATCCCGCCGGGAAATCTGGGATTCTCGGCCCTGCAAGTTAATTTCCTCCCATTGTCGTCCCTGCCAAGGATCAGAGGCAGTTTGCTGACCGTGGAATTGCTTCTCTGGGTGGTGGACACGTTCGAGTCGCCTATCACCTGTCTGCCCAGCCTCCACACCACCCTCGCCGCGGGCGAGCTCCCCCATGTCTCGCAACGTGCCGTGATCGGCCGATTCGCGTAGATCTGGTCCTCCGTCAGAACGATCTTTACGAGGGCCGGTTTCACTGAAAGCGAAACGAATCTGAAAAAATTGCGAAGAGATCGAGTCCTCCGAGAGCCTCGAAAATAACCGGGGGAGCCCCACATGCTCCACACCCGAACCCGCGTATTTTTACGCTTTTGGAACGGCGATTCCACGAAACACGGCCGTCAAAGGAGTCAAGGAGAGAGGACCGCGCGAAATCGTTGGAATTCATCTCGCTTCCGCCGTGGCTCGCTAACCCACGAACTATATTTAAACTTCTTTCTTCTCCTACGACACTAGTCGCAGGACATTCGGATGAATAAGAAGCCAATGCATGTATATATATTTCTTTCCGCGCAGGATGTCCGGCCTAAAGTGTTTTTATTTTGGGGAGGAAGCCGTTCCCCCCGTGCGCCACGATAAAATGAAAAAGAAAAAAGAATTTGCACGCGTTCCCCGCGAGAAATACGATCGGCTTACGCAAGAAGTTACGTTTAAGAAGCCGCACGTATCCTGCGGTTTTTCGCCGGTATATTATATACACCGAGGTGCAGAATATATCGACACACGAGCGAAAAGAAAAAAAACGAAGGGGGGAAGGGAAGGGAAGGCGCGAGGAAGGAGGAGAGTTGTTCCACAACGACGATTCACGATTATCGCTGTTGGCGCACGTGGTGAGATTGAAAAAAGCGGCCTTGACAGGCACGCAACATTGCTCGTTCTATTTTGTTCCTGCAGGCATGTGTAGGCGCGCGCGCGTGTATGTATGTGTGCGGCTATTCGCGATGGATAGGTTTCTTCGAAACGTTTCGACGGTTACGGTCGTTCGAGGAGGACGTAATTCGATATCGAAATAATAAAGGATAGTTACGATAAATGTCGAGAGGGACTTCACGAACGATAGGGGCGGACATCGGTGGCGATTGTGCCCTGCACTCCAGCTTCTTTCCCCACAACGATCTCGTCACGTTCGCGATGAAAAGTTGGTTCTCCGTGAATTTGCTCGGGGAGCCGATGTGCGGCGTGTCGTCCACGCCGTCCAATATTTCGCCGTCCATCCACCACGTAACCGTAGGCTTCGGCCTTCCTGAGGAAGAGAGAGAGAAGACGCGATTAGAGAGTCNAACGAGGAGGGAAGAGACTAACCTCCGGACACCTGGCAGATTAAGACGAGGTTGTAACCTTCCAAGAAGGGTCCGCCCACCCCTGTCACCTCTCGCCCCTGAGCATCGTATATCACAGGCCTGGATGGTTCCTCTGCAAATGGGATTAGCCGGCATTAAAAAAAGAGAGAACGAAAAAGAGATCCCGTTCTCGAGGCAAAACTCAATGTGCGTATACTCACCGACGAGAGTCAGATTCACGCGAAAGTTTCTCGTCGGAGAATTTACAAAATCCACCCTGCACCTGAAGATCCCCTGGTCCTTGTACGTGACCTTGGTCACCTTCAACTTTGCCTGATGCCCGTTGCCGATTTGAAAGTAGGTCCTCTTTCCAAGATCGTCGCTGACCGCCCAGTGAATGGCGGAAGCGAGATCCCTGCTTCTCGCGTCCAAGCTGCGCAGAAAAAATTTTTTTCGAAATTCCATTTCGAAAACATCGATATCGCACGCTCGAAATCGTATCGTTCTCGTATTTCGATATATCGGACACGATCGAACGATGAAAAAAAAAATGATAGAGAAATTTCCCTTACCACGACGCGATCTCAAGATCAAAGAAAGCGAGGTTACCCGGTTACCACCTGGGGAGTATCCTGGCCCGATCAGCGGGCCGAAATTCTTGGCTCGAGTTCTTTGGCGAGTCAACGATCGAGCGAGTTGACGTTTCCGGGATTAAAAGGAGGTGGTAAACACCGGACCCTGGACTCCCCCCTCTCCCCCTCTGCCACTAGTTCTAATGACTAACTCTAGCACGCGCGTCTATTTGCGGTGGGAAAAAAGGATAGTTGGCAAACGCGCACTCGGCGGATTTAGATTCGAAAACGAGTTGACCGTTACGCAATGTCGAGGAGGAAATCTCTCCGCAACAGGAGAGGGGGGGGGGGAAGAATCGATCGAATTCCCTTCCACTTCTTCCCTCCCTTTCTTCCGCTCGAACATCTTGCGGTCAAGGAAGAAAAAGGAAAGAAAACTCGTAAAAATGTTAGAACCACTTGCCTCGTGCAACGCTTCTTTCTTTTAAACGCTATTCCTTCTTCTTCGAAATAGTAACACGAACGTCTATCCGCAACAGTTTCATCCTATAGTTTTTTTCCAGGCCACGTGTTCGTATTTTTTTCTTTTTTTCTAGAAACATCCTTCGTTTGACGGTTAATTACAAATTACGTTCGTTGTCCCGTTTTAAGTAAACTTACGCCTCCCGTTCGTAAATAAACGGAACGGGAATACATCGTTATCCATCATCAATTTATTCCATATTCGCGTTACGCGATCTACCTCAATCAGGAGCGAAAGGGGGGGGGCGGATAATTTTAATCGCTCGATAAGGAGGAGGATGGGGCTTTGAAGAAACCGCGGCGGGGAGAAGAAGATGATAATGGCGGCACCCTATTTCGGGGGCTTGACCCGAGATATTTCGAGACGCGATCTCACAACAATGGCATCTACTGTTGGATATTAAACCCGTCGACGATCCTTCTCCGCGTAAACGCTGCATACGCGTGATGGGGATGTTTTCACCCCTTCACCTCCTCCCCTCGATGAAACAAACTTCTGCACCGCGACGAAGGGATGAGAAGGGAGAAGGAAATTTCGAGCCGCGCTTCATAAGAGAGAAACGAAGAGGAGAAAGAAGAAGTTGTTACCTGTAAAGAGGTATCCCCGCGGTGTCTTTGAACCAGAGCACCATGTTGACGGAGTCGTTGGGGGTCGGTGGAGTAATGTCGCAGGGCAATTCCACGTCCTCCCCCTTGCTGGCCCACACCAATCTGAGCGGCGCTGTAAGAGCGAAAGTCGTAGACCCTTAAAAAAAGGGGCACAAAAGAATAAGAGAAATAATTAGGTTAGATCGTAATAACACGAGTCAGTTTCCGCGAGAAGAGGGGGGGGGGGGAAAGTAAGCTGCCTATTGTGCTCATTACGAATTAGAATTCCTCTAGTTTTTGTCTATTCTCGGAAACGGGCACCGTTCCTAAAAACGATTCAATCGAAATAGAAATCGAGGAAAACACGGAGGGAGGGGATTACGAGGCGATTACAAAAGAAATATTAGGCTGCTCTCTATTCTCTCTAATTATTCACTCTCGAGACGATTCGGTTTCTCACTCTCTGAATTTAATTTAATTTAATTTAACTTAATTGGGAATATTGGTGCATCGCGACGAACCGATTATTATTTTTTCCACGAATCGTCCAAGACGGGGGAGAAAAGATAACGCGTGCCAACGGAGACAGAGTTATCAATGGCATACCACGATGTACGTTAACACCGCACGTGCGCGTTATATCGTTTCTATTTTCTCCCGGTGGGTGGAGAACCTCTTCGTAACGATTCGCTGCGATTCTAAGTTTATATTCGCGCGCGGAGGGAATCGCGAGCGCCGCGATGATGCATCGCGCGCCGATCGAACGGATCCGCGTTCCTCCTCCTCCTCCTCCTCCTTCTCCCATTCAACCGGCTTGAAAACGGCTTTCAAAACAGCTTTTTTCGTACGTTGAAAGGCGAACGGAACGAACCCAGTTAATTCTCTCGACAGAATCGAGTCTCGTGACGAGCGGATTTTCGATCGCTCGAGCAAGGACGCGACCGATTTCTCTCTCGTTTTTTCCGTTCGCTCCCCGAAATAGAATTCCGATACTCGGGCGAGGATTCGAGGAAAGGGAGAGAGAAAGAGCGTATATCGTTATGTAAATAATGCTCGGAAGGGGCGATCCTGTTATTTTTGTATCGCTCGCTCGTTAGGAAACCGCGCTTCCGCCGCCTCGCCTATTTTCGTCATATTTTTCCATTCTCCTTTTTGATCCACCCCCTCGGCTGGTTTCTCCATCCTTCGCCCAGAGTCGATCGAGAAACGTCCATCGGGCTAATTTATTACGAGGCTGTATGACTAAGGCGAGGCTCCATCGAGTCGCAGGCCTCCCCCCCTCCGACCGGAATTAATTTACGAGTTTTCATCGGCGCCTAGAATCTAACGCTGCCGCTACGCTTCCTGCCTTTTGTCTCCCGACGCGCCACGCATTCGAGTCACACCGGTGGACACACTTCCATTCCCTCGCCTCCCATATCG